GGCAACCCTTGTTTTGTAACCCCTGGTTACAGGATTCCCAAGGGAAGCCGAGGACATTAACAACTAGGGACACCAGATGGGGGAATTGGTTGGAACACGGGGTCTGGCAGATCAAGCACTTATGGTCCCAGAATGACAATAGATGGAAGACAGGGAGAGAACTGAGAGATACGATGAAAGGATGTCATAAGCTTACGGAGAATCTAAACGACGTTCTAATATCCATTCCGCAAGAATGGACGCAGTTGTTGAGAGGGCCGTACAAATGGGAATGGGGTGATTGGGGGACCTGGCACATAAGTGCAGTTCCAGAGCAGGCCTTCCGGGTGCAGCAGGAAGTGGGCCCAGATAATTAGTGGCTTGATGCAGAGATGTTCGTAATTCGTAATCCGGGAATCACAGTGAGTCACCTGGATAAAGAATCCAAGACAGCAATCACAGTTAAGAAGTGCCTTCTCAGGAAGATGAGGGTGGTAGAGGATGACGAATTTACAGTATTTGCACCCACGGTGGCCATTGAAGATTTGGAGTACGACCCGGCGGAATGGGCATGGAATATTAGGGGTGGAGAGACACGAGTGACAACGAAGATTAACATTCTCCGCTATACAACGAGACTAGGTTATAGGCTGAGGAGAAGATCGACCCATCTGGATCTTCCCCTAGCCTTAAGATGGGAAAAGAGAGAGGGAATACCAAGAGACCAGGTGGGGAAGTTGCCCTGGTCGTCCCTTCACAGTATAAGATTGGGTAAGATCAGAAGTCTACAGTGGCTCATCCTCAATGTGGCCCTCCCAGTCAACTCTTGGTTGTATGAAAGAAGAAGCAGGCAAGCTAGGGAAGAGGAGGAACGAAACTGTACCCTACGTACGGGTGGGGCTCTGGAAACGATGGTCCACTGCTTAATCTCATGCCCGGAGGCAGAGAAGGTATGGGCGTTAGCTCGCGTACTATGGTCCCGGGTCACGGAAGTTCCCTTCCCTCCGATCAGAGACAGACTCCTAATCAACATGGAAGCGCTCAGAGACTGGAATTCCTGCCAAAAATACATTTTCCGGCTACTGAGGCTCTACGCGCTGTGGACAGTGTGGAAAAGAAGATGTCAAAGGGTGGTAGAAGAGAACCATATGACTATAATGGAAGCCAGAGGAATAATGTACAACCTGCTGGAAACAGAAATCAGGGCACAATGGCAGAGAGCCAAGAAGCAAGCGGAGAGGCAGGAAGAGCTAAATCCAGATAAGGCTAAGGAAATAATTAACAAGTTTAGGACAAAGGTTCTAGCAGGGGGCAAGGTGGCTTCATTGGAAGGGAAAGCCTTGCGCTTCCATTGGTTTAAGGACGATCTCCAGGACCCGCCATATGAGGACGAGAATGGGGATCAGGAGCTTGGACTACCATAAACTACGGGAAGGAGGAGCGATCTACAGAAGAAATCGCAAAGGGAGGGAACCTCAGACCCACTTAAAATAAGACTGACTTCGCAAGGACAGGACTGAGATACAAACGGGGCTGGGGCAAAAGAGAGGGAGCAGCAGGGAAGAGACGAACAGCCAAGGATTTCTAAGTATTGAAGAGGGAGAATAAGGGACAAGGGACACCAATTAAAGTGTCAGGGGAGGAAGCAGGGTTTAGGGTTTAGGGTTTTATAACACTTGAAAGGCAGAGAAAGGGGTTTTGGGGAACAGGGGGGAACACAGCTTTTGTGAAGAATTGTTAAAAAGAGGAGGGTAGATCACATGGCAGCAAGGGAGGATCTCTTTCTAGGTTTAACAGGGATTTCTGGCAGAGCTGTTAGGGCAGATCTGAGAGGGAAGAGAGACTCAAGGCAAGCTGACAGTCAATCCTCCACCAAGGGCGGAGTAATCAATGCTGTTCAGGGGTCCTCCGCCCGAAGGAGCTAGGTCCATTAGGACCTTTTATAAAAAAAAAAAAAAAAAAAAAAAAAAAAAACACAGTCATTGTTCAGGCAATTGACATAGGCGCAGATGATCCCATGGAGTGCAGAGTGGAGGAGGGAAAAAGAGAGTTTCCTCCTCCTCCTTTTCGGCTGGAAAACAAAAGTTACTGAAACGAACGAAAACAAGTTTAAACAACAGGAGCAAGAGAAAAATATTCCTTCTCCTAGAAGACTCAATACAACAATGTGAGGTGGAGGAGGAGGAAGAAGAAGAAGGAGGAAGAAGGAGGAGGAGGAAGGAGGAAGGAGGAGGAGGAGGAGGAGGAGGAGGAGGAGGAGGCGGTGATGGTGGTGATGGAGGTTTCAAATGCGACAGGTAAGAATTCCATCAGTTGGCTCTACTGCTGACTGGTAAGAATTCTGTCAGTCGGCTCTATAGCATCTGAAATACTGGAAGAGTTACGTTTGGAAAGATTGCCCAGAATCGTTTTTTTTTTTTTTTTTTGTCCCTTTCCTCTGAAAGTACTTCCCATGAGTGCCAAAGTACCTCCTGACCTTGTGCTCTAGCGTCTTCTTGTTCTCCCTTTCCATTACTTCCATCTCCTCTTCCTGTTCCAGGTGCTCTTGCTTATCCTCCTCTTCCTCCTTTTCCTTCTCCTCCATTTGTTTACTATTCCAAACTTAATTATCTCCTCCACCTCAGCTCCACGCCACATGGGTGGGTTGCCATCCCCTGTATGGCTTCTCATAGTTTGCCTGTGTCATGTCAGCTTTCCTCCTGAATGTAACCAACCGCTTTCTCCCAGAGGAACATGAGCAGGAAACATGGGAATGAGTTTGGGCTGTGTGTGTGTGTTAGTTTGTGCATTTGTGTGTGTGTGTGTGTGTGTGTGTGTGTGTGTGTGTGTGTGTGTGTGTGTGTGTGT